GCCAATTTCAGGGGACAGTTGTGCCTCTGGAGCGGTTTAATCTCTTTACGGGTTTTGGCAGTTATCTTCGCAGATGTGTAGGTTATTTATATTAAAACAGATCATTTTATTTAGTTCGCGTGGTAAGTTTCCCACTTCCATAGTTTTGGGTTTAAATTTTTGGAGCGGCCAAATTAAGGGCAAATATTAGGCTATTAAAGAACCTGATGGCTACATATTAGCCATGTGTTTTGCGTGTGGCCCACGTTGAACGTGAGTGTACGTGCCATCTACGGCTGATGCGTATGCCGGATAGGATCCACCAAAATGCAGCGGTGCTCAGTTTGATTCCATGTTCTAATTATTTATGAAGCGCCCTACGCTCTGTAGGTGCGTCAACACCATAGTCAGCTTAACGGTATGTGCGGCCCCAAGCCTCGCCCCCGTGAGCCAGTATACCAAAACAAAAATAGGTAGGAAAACGGGGGCATAAAGGGTATATTTACCATTACTTGCTCTTCTGCTGCTTCTTTTGCTCGATGTACTTGGCGTTTCGGGCGGTCATCTTGCGAGGGCGGCTGCGCCTCTTTTTCTTCTTGGGGTACCAGTCTCTCCTTCTTGACGTTTGACAGGCTTCCCTGGCGGCGGACTTCGGCCGACTCAGGTGGTGGGGGCTTTTCCTCCCAGAACTTAACCGCTTTTGGGCCGTTCTCGCAGGCAATACAGCGCCGCACGATGTCCCGCCCGCTGATTGTACGGAATGCGTAGCCGTACTGCAGCTTCCCGCAACCGGCGCAGCGCGCCCGGGCATCCGTCGCAGACCGCTGCGGGTTCAGCAGAAGCGGGTCAATCTTCGCCTCGCATTGCTTGCACGTAGGGCCCACAACTGTGAGTAAGTTAGCAAAATATATTGCTCTAACCAATTACTTGCGTCCAAATATTAGCCAATAGCACGGTACTGTAAGGGTGGAATTTATTCATTAGGCAAAATACTAAAATGTTTTAAACTATTACTATTTGGCTTTGCTTTCATATTAATATTATCAGATTTATAAACAAATATATACTTTACATGCAATATAAATTGACTAAATAATTATCTATCGTGCGCGCATGCATTCGTCGGGTGCAGTGCACGTGAGCAGATAGTGCAATGACCGTGCAG